TTTTTCTTAAATATATACATGCATGTGTGCGTATTTAAATATACACTTAATTTGTAAACACATGCTTTTATTTTGTATGCGATTAATCACGATTAATCATTTGACAGCCCAAAAATTTCAATATTTCAACAAAAAAAAAAATTATAATAATAATGTTTGGACTGTCACGATTAGGCCTATAAATGATGAGTAAAAAACAAAACCATAAACATCAGATAAAGTAGAACACACACTTTTGTTCTGATCATATAACACTTTTTTTATAACACATTTATTTTTCTTGTAAATGTAAAATTTTCTTAAATTTTATATATTAATTACGTTAGGCCTACTTACATGTTACATATAGGATTTCAATCGACTGTGGTAACTTTTAAAGCTAAATTTAGTGCACAACAACACATATTAAATAAATATTTTGGGCAACATTTATTGTGCTGCTTTCTTGTGTGTGCTTCCTTTGGGAAGTTTGAAGTTCAACGGATCCGTTTTGCTTGACACGACAAGCCTTTGAGAAAAATGGAAATATTCTGGTAGATTCGTAACTTTTACAGAAAATATACATTACATGTACGTTAACGCGGTGCTCACACACCTGACTAACCGGCGTTGATTAATTTGATAAATGTAAATACTATGTAAGTTGTCCATACATCTCTGTTTGAAAACCTGGAATTGCAGCTGTGTGCGGCATTATCTTCCTTGCATGGGTTGTCCAGCGCGGATGAATCTAATGTTTTGAGGTAATCAGAAGCACATTTATAACTGGAATATAATTTAATTTCATTCACATGTGTTTCATAAACACATAATCCTTCCTGGATTAAAATCCGCCATTAAAATGATACATTTAATTATTCCAGTTGCTGTGAGAAACTGCTATAAACGATCGCTCTAAACGATCGGCCACCTGCAGATAGTTTTGAACACTGGCTGGTTATGTACTTGCTCAAATATTGATTTCGGATCATTTTTAACCCAAAAAAAGTTACGGACTGCAGCTTTAAGTAATATAGTAGCTTTGCTGGAAGAACAAATCAAGTCTTTATTAACTTGAAATTACTGTATTTTATTGTATAGAAAAGAGCAGTATGGGCATTTTTCAAAACGTCTATTCTACTGAAGAAAAAGTGACACTGACAACTGAAAATATGATTCTTTAGCTGGGTTTGTGGCGTTGTAACCTGTGTAGATTATATTAAAGCCCTCCTCACTCACTGCTGGACTTCTGCATTAGTGCTGGTCTGCTATTCTTCTCCTAATGAATCAGGCTTAATTGAGCTGCTAATGGAATATTAATCACAAATGTTGGTTAATGGTCACATGACACGCAGTTAAACAAAATATTTCATAGATACTGTTAGTAAGATACATTGTAGTTACACTCAAGAGTCTTCTGCCATCTTTTCTTCCCTAGCGTCTCCAGCGTGCCATCTGGATCCCTCAGTAACTGTCCTCGTCTATTTAATCCAGATTACTCTTCTGTTTTTCTTTTAACCGACACATGTCAACACAACCCATCAGCGTCTGCTGATTTCCTCCAGTGTTTGTTTATGGGATGTGCTTGTGTCATTTACTTCCAATTTTGCCTGTGTGTTTGAGAATAAGTGACTGTGCTTGTATAGGGAGACTATACGTCCTCTCGTTCTCTGGCCAGGATTTCTAAATTGCCTAAAATGTCTGGTATTTGGCTTTGCTTTCCTGTTGTTTTCATACTTGCTGATGGTGAAGACTGAAAAGTGGTTTGACCAATAGCGTGCAGGCTTTGTACATAATCAACCAATCGTAGAGCACAAGAAGGTGAGATCTACAGACAACGGCCAAAGCAGTGCAAAATACACATACAGATAATGTATGAGGAGTGTAGAGAGATTGACAATAGGAAAACAAAGCCAAAACAAAGATATTTTAGGCAATTTAGAAGTCCTGGTCATGTCCAGGGAAAAGAGGACGTGTGGTCAACCTATTTTATTCACTGTAGGCATATCAGAGACTATCTGCCTCAAGGGCTGTGTGCTTTAGCAAGTGAATTTGATCTATACATGTAAATGATCTAATTGAGACTAATGTAGACTATAAATATATTAAATTCAGTTCTGAACGGTGTTTGCAGTTTTTACTATGCATTTTGCTGCCCACATAGGGTGCTTCAAATCAATGTGTTTGATTTCAGTTAGTATGCTGTCTAGGTAGCAGTCTATTTAGCTCACTATGGATTGGAATAGTGCCACAGTCACCCATTAAGATGCTCATTTATGGTCTGGGCGTGGGGGGTCACGTGACGCATCTAATGGAGTGGCAGTGTTGACGACGAGCTCCGGCAAAGCCTTCAAAATCTAAAAAAAAAAAAAAAAAAAAAAAAAGATGCTCATTTATCACTTTAAATGCTTTCTTTGAACAACTCTGCTTTGGTTAGAGTACAGAGCGAACCAGAGGAGTACTTAACTCTCCATTCCTGTTCATTTAAAACCAGCTGCTACATCACAGCTCTTTTCTTCTAACAGCAGCGTGTTTGATCCCAGCCGTTTTGAATTCTGTCGCTTGTTCTGTAGCTACATTTTTCTGAGATTATGAAACAGAAATATTTACTCCACTTACTCCCTGAGTCTTTCTGTCTGTCCTCGTTCTTCAGGACTTTTACCCATGGAGATGGAGAGCATATTGTTCATTAAGGCTCTCATTAACCGTCTAATTACACAGTAAAACAATGCGCTGACATTTCTCCAGACCCCGGCAACACAGTGTTCCATCATTATTTCAGATTGTTTGTCATTAATTGATTTCCTGCCCAGTCTGACCCTTAACCCACTGATTGGCTGCCACTGAGAAAGAGACTGAGTGTGTTGTTATTTCAAAAAAGTGTTTTAGAATCACTCATAAACCTTTGAATGGTAAAAGGTCTTAAAGGGGTCATCGGATGCAACATGCACTTTTACAAGTTGTTTGAACTGAAATGTGTTTTGGCAGTGTGTGTACACAACCACCCTATAATGATAAAAATCCACCCAGTGTTTTTTTTTTTATCCTGTGTGACATCACAAAAACAGGCCCCTCCCACGATAGTTTGATTGACAGTAGCATTTCAGCACAGACTGGACTGGCGTCTTACCTTAGACCCGCCCTGAGTGAGCTGTCATCAGTCCGCCATTGTTTCACCGCCAGAGCAGATGTAGACAAGAATAACTCCTAAGCGATTGAGGTGTTCTGTTGTTGGATGTAATAATGAACATAGCAGTCGTCATTTACTCCCGACATCTGAGCCGCTGAAGATGCAGTGAATCACGTTTGTTTCTCAAGGGAATGCGCCCCCGATCTACCTAAATGCGTCTATGTTCGTGCGAATCATTCGTGATCCAGCTTCACCTACAGAAGAAGTGAGTGTAAGGTTTTTTAATGAATCTTTGCAATTCGCCTTTCCTAACAATGTGCTAATTAGCAAGTTTCACGATGAATGCAGCTAAAGTAAACAGTCCTTCAGAGAGCGCCTCGGAAGAGAGGGGCGGGGTCAGCAGAGCTCATTAACATTTAAAGGAAAATGCTACCAAACGACTTGCTCTGAAAAGTAAAAAAGGTGTTTTTTATACTACCATTGAGAAATTTTAACCAAACTATGTTACAGACTTTTCATTAAGACCATAAAGAATCATATCAACTTGTGGAAAATGGGCATCTGATGACCCTTTTAATATTTTTCAAGAAAAATGGGTTTAAATGGATAATATCCAATGAATGGGAGCTTGAAGCAGACATTTAGATGTTTTAAGCCCGAGACACACTGCACGATTTTCAGCTGTCCCAGACGAAAGATTGGCATCGTGAAACAATCGTGGTGATTTCTGTGATTGTGTCTCCTAATCGGTGGTCTTGTGTCGTACAGAGAGAGGTTCAAAGACAGCCGTTGTCACGGTCTTGTGACCAAAGATAGCCTACGATCATTTTCTGACAGAGTCAGAAATTCAGCATGATCATCGCACAGTGTGTTTGCTGCTACAATCCACGTTTACAGACCAGTCAATAAAAATGTGACATGGTGCTAAAACATAAAACAGCTTACCTCAAGCTCTTATTCCTTCCTCTTTCACAGCTTCCACTTTTTTTCAGCATACATAAAAACTACAACTGTCAAAAAAAAGTGTGATTCATCATACTCTTTTTGTTTACCTCTAGCGCATGCTGATGACGTTTTATTCTTCTATAGAAACGTGCATCGTAGAGTACGAGTCAACGTCTTCATCGTATAGTCTACATGCATGTCGTACCCAAATTTATTAGATCTATATGTCACACAGTGTGATTTGCAAGGATCTTGTAGGATGGATATGGATGTTTTATGTGGCTGCTATGTTGCTCTGGTGGTTGCTAGATATGGCTTGGGTCCCTCCTTTAATATAAATCTGTGAGATTCTTTTTATCCTTCTTTATTGTCCATCACGCAAAAAAAAATCACAAGTCTAAAAGCTTAAAGTCAAAAGTTACTTTAAATCTAAAAAGGTTAAAGTAAAACCACTTTACACACAATTTAAAAAGCTGACATAATTCGACAATTATGTCACAATAATTTTGTATGTTAATATTTTAGTAATTTTAATATTATTTATTCAGAGTTGTCTAAGTCTTTAAAAATAAGTGTTGAAATTTTTGAAACATATTGTTTATTTATATTAATTTATAACAATTTTTCCATCATATTTTTATATTCTCTCTCTTTCTCCCTCTCTCTATTTTCCCTCCTGTTTTATAATCTAAAATAAGTGCCATAATGCCACACTGAAAATTTATTTTTTCATCAAGATAATTGGAGTACGTTTAACAAGAAAATACTATTTCAGTCTTTCAACTTCAAAAATGTCATGTTTAATTAAATGTTACTTGCCTTTTCTCTCTAATTACTTGTGAAAATTGTTTCAAAGCAAATCCTACACCAATTTTTTTTCCACACTGTGCACACATCTGCATAGAAATGAGCATTAGTGTGTGCGTCTGTGTGTTTTTAATCTCAGTGTGGTGGCTGTGGCTCTGCCCTACGCTGCCCCGCTCAGAGATCAGCGCTCTAATAAGCTGTTGGATTGTTTGGCCATCACATCTTCTCTGCATTTCAAACTGTTTCCAGGAAGAAAAATAACAGACCAAGGATTAAACGAAGCTTGAAGCGGGTCTTATGATGCCTGTGGTTTGAATCAGACCGAAATCTCAGGCTAGCTGTCCCCTGTGTTCTAGTTAGTGCTGCTTGCGGTTAGTATAGCTCAGGGCTGAGCCCACCCAAATGACTGTCTTGCCCACCCAATCAGAATCGGATAAAGATTGCGTAAATGTTTATTTTTTTGTGCAGTGATTAAAACCACTCCGAAGCGGACTGTGTTTTGAGAAGTATAAGATAGACATGGAGACTGCCCCAACAATCATAAAATAACACCAGAAAATTGCAGCGTTTTTCTTTTATTAGCTGAATGCAAAGCGCGCTGAATTCACGCGGCTTCAGTCTGTTGCAGAAAAGCAGAGGCTGACAGCGAGCGAAAACAGGCAGAAATATTTGTGCACTTTCACGGGGAGTTTGCGAGTTACAAGGAGTTTAATACATGAATATGTATCACTGAAATTACATGAGCAGTTGAATTAATGTTCTATAATAACCCGCTCATTCAATAATGTTTATTCATTGCATGGACGGGGCAAGATAAGCGTTTAACTAGGCTAAACAGTTCAGTTGAAAGTTTACCCCTTTTGGCTTGCTGTTAATGCTGAATGTAAGAATGAAAACACTGAAATAAGATCTTGTGTGATGAAAGGTGCATTCAACGTTACTATAGCAACAGTCGGCTTGACTGTAATATCCAGTGAAGCAAACTATTCAACTTTTTTTGTGAAATTCCACCGTTTTGAATTGAAAGCAGGTCGGTCATTTACGTGATTCGTGTAATTCATAATTATTGTGACGACAATAGCATTGTTTTGCGTTTTCAACATTAGGAATACAACTAAAATTGAATGGGTGCATATTTTAAAATAAAAAATATTATTTGCAGTTCAGATTGATTACTTAAAAAAAATCTAATTCTTGTTCTTGGCTTACAGTAGGGCTGCCATATAGGCCTATATGTGCATTTTTAGATTTTACATTTTTAGTTGAAAATAATCACCAGTGTAGAAACCATGAAAAAAAAAGTTTTTGTTGTGAAAATGCATGATATTCTAGGCTGCCCTTGAAAGCTTTTTTTTCAGTGTACATAAATTATAGTTATATATTTTTATTAGTATATATATTTTTAAATATGTCTGGATTTTTATTCTTTTTTTAATTTTTATCCATTTTAGCTTCATTTGTTTTAGTACATCAACTGAGAGATTAAATAAAATAGTTTTTTTATGTTTTATTGTTTCAGTTAAAGTTTATTTTATTTCAAGTAAGGCATTTATGCATACTCGGCTCTGTGTGCACATGCAATATCTTACAGATGAACTCTTCACATGAACAAATCGTTGACAATATCTTCTGAAATTTCTTCAAAACTCTCAGTATTCACAACAGCCCAAACCTGCAGCATCTGTGCATTTCTCACATTGATGCAAATTCAATGCAGAGATTCATTAGCCATGAAAACATGGCCTGCCTCAAAGCGTTTGAGCAGTTCTGCATGAATATCTCATGAGCAGTCAGTGTGAATGGTGGCTTGGCTTGGGAGACTGAATTTATAGCCCGCTGGATCCATCCACGTTCAAAATAGAAGCCACACTATGGGCTCTAACCGCTCTCCTCTCTCTGGCGGAAATCTCTTTTCCACAGCTATAAAAGCTCATATGATGGATGAATAGAGTTGATGTTTAATATAATAACTCTCATGCTCATAAATGCTCAAGGATGTTAGCTCTAGCCAGCCAACTTGAGCCGCGTAGAGCATCCCAATAGACTTTAGCATGCAAACATCTGTGGTTTTCACAACACAATCTCATGGCAAGCTGTAAGTATTTTGCTATCTAGCGAAATTGTAGCTAATTCGCACAATCCCCAGTGACAGTTTGGGCTGGACCTTCATGCTTTTTTAAAATAAAAATGAAATGTTGTGATGGCTAATTGCAACAGTATTTTTTATAGTGTACAAGAGCCAACCGTAGTTTCAAGCTAGAGTAGTACAGAAGCTAGAGCAAAAAAGTAGCATTGCATTTGTCTTCAGCTGTTTCTTACAGTTTATAGAAGTGTAATCTGGTGTTTAACTTGATTTAATTATATTGGATAATAATGATTGGAATATTATCAGTTTGTTTAGATGTTAGCACATGATTCACATTTTAGGTTACCTGGCAAAGCATTTTTGTGCAAGAGAAGCTTGAAGAAAGTTGGATGCCTGGCTCCCAGACTTTGTTCCAGCAGGTCTGACTTTGTAAGGGTGAATAAACATCTTGCGAATTAACAGGATTTTCCCCGTACGGTATTTGAAGCGTGCATCTGAGGTAAGACTGCAGTTATTCTCCTGTGGCAAAAAATAATCGGCTGAAGTTTCAAATGAAATGATTTTGCTTTGCTGAACTTGATTGGCAGCCGCTGACACGGGCGGCTGTGCTCATCCAATCAAATGTCATGTTCCACCTACGTGTCTTGAGACATCTGTCAATCCTGGCAGAAACAAGCTTTGTGTGCAGAGCGGTAAGGACGTCTAGTGTTGCCATGCTTCTGATGGATGGAATTATCTCCCAAACACAAGCCTGTTATATTTTTTCATCTTAAATATTTCTATAACAGTTTGCATGCAGAAAATAACTGACTGTGTGGAATAAACTCCCTAGACAAATAGAGTAAGATCTCTTGTAGGGTAATTATTGTTAACTAAGACTCAAACCATAAAACAACATTTTTATTACTCAAAATAAAATAAACGTTACTGAAATAAAATAAAATACAAAAAACTTAAACTTACTTTACTTGGCTAGTTGCCAAAATAGTCAAGGTAGTTTATGTAGTTTAACTTGATGTATGAAAAAAAAAAAAAAAAATGGTTTAAATAATTGCTTAAAGGGGTAGTTCACCCAAAAATGAAAATGTTATGTTTATCTGCTTACCCCCAGTGCATACAAGATGTAGGTGACCTTGTTTCTTCAGTAGAACACAAACGGAGATTTTTGACTCAAACCGTTGCAGTCTGTCAGTCATATAATGGAAGTGAATGGGAATCACGGCTTTGAGGGTCAAAAAAACATACACAAACAAAACCAAATTAAATCCTGCGGCTTGACTTATAAGTCTGTGATCCGCCATAAAGCAAGAAGAAGAAGAAGACGCGTCACGCACAGGCCGAAGAAGAAAACGCGGACAGTTCAGACATTGCAGTGAATCAGAGGTAAAAAACTATATAAATACTGTTCAGTTTCTTGCACAGACCGATCGTTTCGTGTCTTTGCACATCAATGTATCATCAAGCCGCAGGGTTTAATTTGGTTTTGTTTGTGTATGTTTTTTTGACTCTCAAAACCGTGATTCCCATTTACTTCCATTATATGACTGACAGACTGCAACAGTTTGAGTCAAAAATCTTAGTTTGTGTTCTACTGAAGAAACAAAGTCACCTACATCTTGGATGCCCTGGGGGTACGCAGATAAACATCAAATTTGCATTTTTGGGTGAACTATCCCTTTAAACTTTCACTAAAATTAAAGTGAAAACAAAAATCTTAAACTTATTTTAAGCTAGTTGCCAGAGCAACAATTGTCATTTTTATTTAGTTACTAAAATAATTAAAGCTAATTAAACTAAAGCTATTAAAAATATACTATGTGGACAAAGTTATAAAAATAATACAAATAAAAAATAAAAATTAATCAAATAAATTAAAAAAAATAAAAACGACAAAAACAACAAAATTACTACAACTTTTAAATTTAAGTAAAAACAAAACATGTATAGACATCTTTTAAATTGTATTAAAAATACAACTAATTTAAAACTAATAAAAATGACAAAATTTCATAAAAACTCTTTATTAAAGTGAAAACAAAATAAAAAAATTGGAAATGAACAAATATTCAACAAAACATATTACCAAGAACTGCAATACTAAATCAATGATACTAAAATAACATTGATTGTTTTCATTTTAAATTGTTTCAACTTTTTTCCTAGATAGCAATCAGTACGTTTACATGGACAACAATACTCCGATTTTAATACGATTAAGACAATACTCTGATTAAGTACTCTGTACGCATCTAACCTCCGAACCACGCAGCAGGTTCGTTATGAATGAATCTCTTCCCAAATCGTCCCTCCCTAACATTTTCGTCTCGTTTTTATTCGTTGACGAAAATGTCAATAAATATTCGTCATAGTTTTTGTCATTCAAAAAGAGTTTTAGTTCGTTATCGTCTCGTTGTCGTCAGTGAAAAAAATGTCGTTGATGAGAGTTATGACGAAAATTATTCGTCAACGAAATTAACACTGATGTGGAGTATTCCTATTTTAGTCGCATTATTTAAGTGTAGTAAAGACATGTACACACCTTAATCACATTATTACCGTCGTGTATTACTTTTTGCTTTTTCCGCATTTTGCGACAGGATACACACACGGCAGTGGTCAACCGTTTGACGGCAAATAAAAGAGCTTCAACACCGCCATCGTCTGAATGCACGTACAAATAATTAACTGCACTTAAAGGGTTAGTTCACCCAAAAATGAAAATTAGGCTGCATTTTACTCACCCCCGAGGCATCCTAGGT